TTGTAAGGCTTGTCTTTTGCATTGCGTAATCACGCATATATAGTGGGGGCCTTCTGTAGGCTAGTTTGGTGCCTGCTTTTGCTGCAATTTCTCTATATAAGACATGAAATTGTTGGTTTTACTCAACTGTGGTGCGTCTGGTGGTGGGGTTCTGATTCCGATCTTCATTGCGGGCCCTTTGGAAATTGGGGTGCTATGTGTATCACATGGTCTAGAATAGGCATATGCTAACTCACATATTAGTTGCTTTTTGTAGCCATGTTTCATCGTGATGCACTCTAGATTTTGTAGTTCTTTTACCATGTTCCTCCAATTGGAATGATGTGTATAAGCTCTTCCAACTAAAGCACGGAATGCTGCATCTTTGTAAGTACACATATAACTAGAAATAAAGGTTCGTTAAGTGCTTTCATTAATGCTGGTAATCAACTTAAAAGATATTACTAATTAATTAATAATTATATATATTATTTATTTATTTATTTATTTTCCTTTTTGTGCTCGCTTCCTTTTACTTGTATATTCAATAAACAACTTATGTAGTTTTTTTTCAGAAGTTACACTCAACAAGAGATACTATTTCATGTAGAGATGTGTTTCAAGCATTTTATGCTTCTCTTCATCCCAATTTCTTAAGTAGTTACTATTTAACATCATATTCAATAAAACTAGTGCTTTAAAAACAAATTCTTTTCATACATTATGATTTACATTAGCAGCTTTATTCTATCTTTTTATTTGTTTTCCATTATGGCATTTAATCAGTCTATTCTAGAAGCTTGACAGAACAACAATCACTCAGTTCTTTAAGAATAATATTATTATTCCAATTATCAGAAATTTTTTTGATCCAAATTGGTACATTACAGTGGCGTGCCGTGACATTTGATGATAGGGAAGCTGTGTTTCTATAAGAAGCCGACTTCCAGGGGCAATCAGTTAGCAATGGTCTAGGTTCCATTCGTATTCGTTTGTTCGATAAGCCAGTAAAAACCGTACACTTTTCTAAATGTATTTTTAATTAAAAGATTATCTAACGCACTTAATAAATAAGCAAGTTCAATATAATTAACTCTCTTATATTAGATTTAATAGATTCTATAGCCCTCTAAATGCCAATTCTCGCTTCGATAACATTTACAGTAGACCCCCCTATAACGCTTAGATACGTTCCACGCTAACCGAAAATTACGTTGTAGGAATGAGCCAATCGCAGCCCGATAGGTGGGAACTTTACGGACTAAGGCTGTTTGATAGGTTTTCTTCTATAAAATTAACTGATTCTAGACTAATTCCACTCAACATTTCCAAAATACGTATAATTTTTTGGGAATAATCTGTATAAACTATGCTATAAACAAAAAATTGTAGGATTACTTACACCGTTCGACTACGCCGTTGCTTAAAGCTGGTTTTCATCGCGGAACAGCAC